GGCCCTGACCTCAAGGAGCTTATATCCTGGTTGTGGAGTGGAGGGTTTTTTAGTAAACATAATAAATGAGAAAATACATGTCAGAAGGTACGAATGCTTTAGAGGAAAGGAAAAATAGAATCAGAGCAAGTGAAGGAGGTTCAGGTGTGTCAGATTGTGTGGGTAGAAGTAGGTTGTAATGAGACATAGACTCAGGAATGGCCTCGGAGGAAGGGAAAATCTGAGCAGAGAGTTGAAGGAGATGATGGTGTTAGCCATGTGAGTATCTGATGGATAAAAGAATATTCCAGGCGGGGGAACCTCTTAGTACAAAGACCTAAAGCAGATGCATGTGTGACAAACTCCAAGAACAGTAAGAGAGTCACTGTGGTTAGAGTTAAATAAGTGAAGAGGAGAAATGAAAACCAGAAGGTGCTAGAATCAGCAGGGGCCACGTTCATAAGAGTCTTGGAATGAAACCAGGAGCCATAGCAGGGTTTGGGGCAGAGGCAAGAGATGATTTGACTGATAGTTTGAAGGCTCACTCTGCCCTCTGAGATGAGAATAGTCAGTAGAAAGGCAAGGGAAGAATGAAAGCATACATACAGGAACAGTGCACATGTCTGGCCCATGGAATACGAGGGATTTTTGTCGAGTGAATTAATATATGAGTAATTGGATTATGGAGCTCAAGGATAAGATACATGGATAAGATCCTCACAAGCATGAAGTAATGGGTGGTATGTTTTCACATCTTTGGGAATCAGACTTAGTACATTAATATCACACCTTATATTTCTGTGTGTGTGAATATGTGTGTGTGTGTTTAGATCCATATACATACATATTTAGTGCTTGTTTTCTGTATGAAAAGCACTTTAAATTTTGACAAATGCCTTCACCTAATTTATGCTACACGTATAAATGAATACATAATGTAGTATTCACTAATGCCAACTTATAACAAGGCTACCAGTTCCAGTTCCAAAGAAAGAGCACATTCTAATACTGACAGCCTGAGGCTATTTTTTTGTTTGCTTTCTGTTTTTTAATTCTGAACTTTATGGAAGAAGTTTTTTCTTACAAAAATAAAGGTCACAGTTTCATTTCCCATGTATGTATGTTAGTTTGAAAGGAGGGGAAAGGTTTCTATAGCCACAGATTCTTTCTCAACCCCAACAAACTTCCTTGTAAAGACGTTGCGCATGGGAAGGGGCCAACAGAGTGAACCTGGAAAGCCCTATGCAAACCCATCTGGGAGAAGACAGAGGAGGTGGCGCCCTGGCAGTTTCATGTGTAAAAGGCAGCCAACATGTAAAATACACTAATTTTAACATGCCACTACAGTTTGAAGATTATCAGTGCCCAGGTTGGAAAATTTTAAGGGTTGAAGAAACTGCCTCATTCATCTCATCACTCACAAATAATTATCAAGCACATACTACATGTATAGTGGTGACACTCCAAATTGAACAGGATGATGATGGGCCTGCACAGTCAATTGTACATATTCCCATCTGGGGTAACTTTACTTTCAAGGACAGAAAATTTGCCCTTAGGTAAAACAAACAAACAAACAAAAAAGCTTACTTTTTTTTTTTTTTTTTAGCTGAGCCATCCTTCCACCTGTTGGCAGCTCAGCAGCAGCTCAGCTCGGGCAGGCAGCGAACCGCTGTTGCTCAGAGCTCAAACTCTTGAGCGAGCTCTTAACCAACTGAGCCACTAGGAAAAGCTTACATTTTAATGTATATAATATAAATATATATACAGTACATAGATAGACATACAGAATATCTATGATATTAAAATTTAATGGGGAAGGGTAGTTAGGAAAACTGATGTCTGAAAAGACTCCTTACCACAGCAAAAACAAACAAAAAAGATTGAGCAACATTTGTCTATTGGGAAGCAAGTGACTGTAATAAAATATGGTAACTACAGTGATAGGGAAAGTACAGGACGTTGAGGAAACACACACTTAGTACAGAGCAGGAGGTTAAGGAAGGCTTCCTGGAGGAAGCCACACCTCCTCAGAGCTGTGAGAGGTGGCCATGGGGAATGACTGGCAAGTGGGTGGGGAATGGTGGGAGAGAATCAGCGCAGAGGACGAGTTCATGCAAAGGACCTGGACAGTCACTAACACAGGCTTTTACTGAAGCAAATCTGTATAAATCCCTGAATTTCCTAGCTTGGCTAATTAATTCATGAAGCTAGGTAGGCCACAAAGGAAACACTACAAACTGAAAACTGAATTTTTGTCACCGTTGGGACCTCACGTCTGTCCTCTCCTACATTATGGCCTTTCTTTTCATTGTCTGTCGTCATCACAGTGAGGCCCTCAATACCTCCTGTCAGAGAATTCCAGTAGCATCCCTGATTTGTCTTCCTCTAGTCACTCCACAGCAGGAAGAGAGCAGAGCGACCGTAGGAAGTAATGTGCTACATTGAGCTATTAGGAGAGCAGCCCTGACGTGCCCTCTCTTTGCTCTCAAATCTTCATGTTGATCTAAATCAGCTCCTCAGTCTGCCAGGTAAGCGTTCATACAGTCAGGCTCTAAACCCCTGATCTAAGAGAGTTCAAGTTTTCCTTGAGGTTAATAGATTTTACACTTTTAGAATCTAACAAACATTGTAGACCTCCCCTCCTTCATCCAGTCACAAATATTTAGCGTGCCTACGATGTGCCAGGCACTGTTCCCATCACCAATGGTAGAGACAGGACAGGGCACACCATGTTCTTCACTCATGAGGCCTGCCTTCTCAAGGAGCAACGACATACAGAAAAGGAATGAACACAAATAAATAAATCTGATAATGTCCATGGTAAGTGTTATGAAGTAAGTTTTAAAAAGGGCAATGGGTTAAAGAGTGACTTTAGATAAGGAGATAGGGGCATAAAGATAGGGGATGATATCTGAGCTGAGGACTGGATGATAACCAGCTATGTGACTGAGGGAACACAGCCCCAAACATAGGACACAGCAAGTGCAAAGGCCTTAAGATGGAAATGAAAATGAACAGAGGAAAAACTGAGAGTGGGTATACACCAACATGGCGATACTGTTCTTAAAATATAATGTCCAGTGTCAGTTGCCTAACAGACTCTGCCACCCTACACATGCCTCCCAGGGTTTTCCCAAAACCAGTAAGTAAAGAATTAATATCTCTAAGGACCCTGCATTTCTACTTAAATGATGACTTTCAATTTGAACGACCAGAACCCATGTCCTATCATTTGTTAACTAAATCACAGTGTACATGAAATTGTCATACACCTTCAATGGTGGACCTGGATGTCCTAAAATCTATCCTGTGCCTCTGAGAATCCTTACTTCATCTTTTCATGAGGCAACGGCATACAATGGTTGCATAAGTGTGAAGCAGATTTTCTGGGTTTGAATCCAAGCTCTGACACTTACTCAATGATGGGACCATGGATAACTTGCCTAAAATGTCCATGACTCCGTTTCCTAATAAAAAGAGAACAAGGATAATGCCTCAAGATTTTTGAGAGGATTGAATGACATAATGTACATAAAGCAATTAAAAGGCTTTTGTACATTAGAAATTCTTACAGTGGTTATTATATGAATTATGAATTCTAGCAGGAATTCATAATGCCTATGCCTACACATTTAAATTCATCCCACTTCCTTATCCTAACATACTTTTTTCTTTGTTTTCAATGGCCAAATTTCTACTAACTGACAAGCTCAGATAAAATCCACAATCACCCTGAAGTATCTACTGATTTCAGCCTCTAGAAAAGCCAGTTCCCTCCTCTGAACAACTATTAGTACTACTGTTTAGACCATTAATTAGTTTCTGTCTAACAAAATGATTTGTGTACTTGTTTTCATCCTTTGCTAGGTTGTAAATCATTTAAAGCAGTACTGTCCCATAGAAATATAGTTTGAGACGTAACTAATTTTACTTTATTTATTTCACTTTATTTTATTTTTATTTGTTAGGCACATATTTTTAAAAACAGGTGAGACTAGATTAATTTTAATAATATATTTTATTTAACCCCATGACCAAAATATCATAATTTACTATGAAATTGATATACACACATCTTTAATGGAATATTTTATATTTTTTGTACTTAGTCTTTGAAATACAGCATGTGTTTTACACATACAGCACATCTCAATTCAGACGAGCCATCTTTCAGGTGTGTCATAGACACAAGTGGGTAGTGTCTACCATTCAGGATGGGGCAGATTTGGGGCTGGGTTACCCTCGACAGCTCTGTATTTATCATAATGGCTAGCATGGCGCATTCCCTACTGCACACGTTCAATCAATATCTGTCAAATTAATTACTAATTTATTTAAAATTGATACAAAATCTAAGCCCATGGAAAATATATTCCTGTTATTCATAACACAAAAAGAAAAAAAAATCAAAAAATAATTTTGGCACCTTTAAAGAATAAGTTTGTTCTTCCTCTGGAGTGCTAAAACAAATTTTCCAGTTATTTTCTCAATAAGAATATAGCTTAGAAGTACTAAGTCATGGATCACTAAAAGAAATAGTACATACAGGGCAATAAAATGATTTAGTGTGACATGTTTGGAGAAACAATTCAATCCTTCTTTCCAGATAAGAGTAAGAATTTGGATTAAAGTAATTAGCTCTTAAAACAAATGTGCAGGATTTGGTAAATATTGGTGAACATATTTTAATGTCATTTTCCTGTTCACCACATGAAATATACTCATTGTTTTCATAAATGATTTCCCAGTTACTCAGATGCAGTTACAGAAAACAAATGACATTATTTCCACAGTCATTAACAAGGTACTGTCAGGGTCAAATCAACTTGAATTATTCCTGTTAGAAAGTTGATCTGAAAGTGAAAATGCTGATATGTAAGCTACCCAATCCTTCCTTATCAACTCCATTTCTAGCTTTCCTTTTAACCTTAAGTAGTCATATGTCTGAACTTTTGATTGTAATAGGAAAGTATAAAAAATTAGCAAAATATGGTAATGAGGGAAGTGAAATAACTCACCTTTGGCAATCTCAATGGTAATTTGCAAACTGGAAACTGATAATGGTTTTCATTCAATATGAGGGATTGATCCAAGTTGTGGGCCACCTTTTCTTTAGGTACTTTATAAACGACGATGGTGCCCTTATAATAAGGGCAGCTATAGTTCCCAAATTCATCCACCTCTTTGATTTGGAGTTCCAGCCTGGGTTTTCTTTGTAAATGAAAAATAAGCTTGTAGTCTTTTCCATAATCCTTCCCATTGCCTAAGTAGAAGTAAAATGCATTTGTTACTCTTAAAATATACCACTTTGTCTAAATTTTTAAAAGTCCAAATAATCATATCATTTTTAAAATAACATTAAAGATTTTTTTATGTCATTGCCTCTTATCAAAATATATCCTGACAACGCAGCAATAGGCTTAGACTGTGTAGATTAATAAAAAGATATTTCATCTATAATTGGACTAGGGGGTCTCTGGCTGTTTCTACATCTAATAACTTTTTATTTTTTTGTTCTATTCCATTTTGTTATAACAAGAAACAATTGGAAATATTCAGATCTTTCTATATTTTAAATATTATTTTCATTTTTCAAGAATTTTCTTTTTTTCTTCCCCCTAACTATATCATATTGTACACTATCATGACCTCAGGATAATAGACATTTTAGAACTCTACTCTCCTATATGGGAGCCACTATTAAGATGTGACTTTTTCAATTTAATTAATTAAAATTTAATTCCTTGGTCACTCTAACCACATTTCAGATGTTCAATAGCCACTTTTGTGTAGTAGCTTCCTTACTAAGCAGTGCAGATATAAAACATTTCCACCATCACAGAAATAGGCAGTGCTGTTCTAGGACTTCCAAATGAAATAGTTACTTGATTCACGTTACTGAAGTTTCTATGAAAACCTGGTGAATTGTCCCAAAACAATGCTAAGTAGAAGTCTTCTCAACCGCTCACTGAAAGTAACAGAGCTTTAGTGAACTTTTAACCTTTCACCCATGGTGGGGGGAGGGGGGAGGATTGGTTACCATGGCAACACTATGGTAAAACAGACACTGCCATGTGTCCTAAGGCACATATCTGCACATATTAGCAAAATTGAAAAGTAAGTACAGTATAATGTAGCAGTTATGATATCTTTCTGGCATAAAGATATGGATCCAAGTTTAGCCTCTCCTATTTATTTACACTGTGATATTTATCCAGTTCTTTCACATCTCTGACCTTCTTAGAGCCTTAACTTCTTTATCTTTAAAATGGGAGAAATAAAACTTACCTCTTAGGATGGTTCTG